TTCAGTTTAACCGGTTCTGGCATTATCCTGGTACACAATAAGACGGTGGCACAGGAGTTAAGTGCTCGCCCCGTAATCAGAAGGTTGCAGGTTCGAGCCCCACTCAGTTTGTCCCTGTCATTGTGTCCATGGGCAAGACACTTAATCCCCTTGACTGCTGGTGGTGTCAGAGGGACCGGGGGCGCCTCTGTCAGTGCGCCCCTGGGCAGCTGTAGCTAGATCGTAGCTCACCCCCACTAGTGTGTGAATGGGTGAATGACTGAGTGTGTTGTAAAGTGCCTTGGGGGTTCTAGGACTCTAGAAGGTGCTATATCAAATGCAGGCCATTTACCATTTACAATAACACCAATGCAACATTCAATATGTGTTCAATACTCGTGCAACACCAGATTTACTTCATATCCTAGTGTCCTTTATGCTGCGTCGTTCTTAATTGTTGTTTGTGGTTTTTAGTGGTTAAAGGTTACAATACTAGCTTACTGTCTATGTGCATGTACCTTTGTTATTATTTTTCTTCAAATTATTGTCTAAGTGTTGGTGCTGCTGTAAAAAGTGACTACCACACTGTGGGATCAATAAATTCTATTTTATTCTATTCTATTCTATTCTAATGCCACCGATGCATGTGAAGAAGGGCATGTGGGGCAGCTGTGGCTACGTTGTGGTTTGCCATCACCAGCAGTGTGTGAATGCACATAAAAAATGAAAAGATCTGTTGGCAACAAACAAAGTGATCAGATTTCAATAAAGATTAATCAGCCTGCTTCTCATCTATTATGACTAATGTCTACACCCATTTTGTTAGAAAGCAGTTGACTGCACACACTCGTTAGATCATTTATCTCCCGTTAAACTGCTGTAGTTCCTTGTTTCTAATAACTCATCTGGAAAACCCTCCCTGACTTTGCCAAGATGCTTCAACCATGATTCCTTTGATTTATGATTAAAAATATTTGGTGTCATTAATGATTATTTCAAGCCTCAATTATTTGTGAAAACTTAAATACAACAAGCTGCTCTGATCTAGAGAAAGAACTTGGCCCTGTCAGTGCACCCCGGGGTAGTGGTGCTGATGTAGCTCATCATCACCAGCACTAGAGGAACAAATCAGAGCCGGGCCGGGGGCGGAGCAAATGACAGAGCCCTTTAAACCCATTAAGGTCGTGATGACATGATTTTAGCTGTGGTGCCCTGCAGGGGTGGACTGGGACCAAAAATGGGCCCTGGCCTGCGGAGGGGACATGTGACCATCACATGTGAGATCGGGGGCGGGGGTGCTGCTTCTGCTCGCAGACTCGTGTGTCCAGCCGAACGGAGTGGGGGTGGGTTTGCGTGCGGGGGGTCTGGGTTGGCCCAAGCTTGGCAAGCAGCCCACCGGGACAGTGCCAGAATGCCAGATAGGCCAGTCCATCCCTGGTGCCCTGTATTTGGGAACTGGGCCGTCAGTGCCAGTTTACTGACCTCATCTGATGTTACAATGGTGGTGACTGGACAGCTGTGAATCCCAGAAGGGCCGGTGTTTTTCTCCCCCCACCCCACTTGTCGGAGATCGCCCAGGCTGTGGGAGCATCCAGCCTCCCAAACAGAGAGGACCGGTACGGCCACTTCTGATTCTGTGTTGTTCTGGTCATTTATTTCTGATCACATATCTGTCCGTCCTAAAACATCGGCCATCCACATCCACCCAGCACCGCCCCTCCCGATATGCCGGACTCGCGCTCCATGAGGGGCAACCTTTTTTACACGTACTTCATCCCTAAAGTCAGTCGGTCTTGTAAAGATTTTAGCAACCATGACTAAACCCTGACTGGGGCAGCTTATATGAACCCTAAACAAATCAGCATGAGAGGAATTTTTTTTAGAATGGAGCTCATTCTCCTCTCAAGCCAAGTTATGGACGTGCTTGTCTTCTCCAGCATCCTTCGTTTGTGTTAGAGGCGCCGTTCTGTCTCGTCTGCCTTGTTGCAGGGGCCCCTCCCCTTCCCGCTACCTCCCCCAGCCATTTCAAAGCTCTGCCCCTGATCACCAGCGTGTGAACGGGTGAATGACTGTAGGGTAAGGCGTGTTGGAGTTTCTTGACTCAGAGAGGCGGTATTAAAGTGCAGGTTATTTATCATAACTGATGTTTTTTAGGGATCCTAAATTCTGATGCTCAGGAATTAATGTTTTGACTACAGAAAGACAACAAGCAGGACTTTAACACCATCTGGTGAATTTGTTTTTCTTTTATTGCTTCAGGCAGAACTGTTCTGATCCATCCATCCATCCATCCACCATCCATCCATCCATCCATCCATCCATCATCCATCCATCCATCCATCCATCCATCCATCCATCCATCCATCCATCCATCCATCTATCCATCCATCCATCCATCCATCCATCCATCCATCCATCATCCATCCATCCATCCATCCATCCATCCATCCATCCATCCATCCATCATCCATCCATCCATCCATCCATCCATCCATCCATCCATCCATTTCATCCGCATATCCGGAGTCGGGTCGCGGGGGCAGTAGCCTAAGGCGAGAGGCCCAGACTTCCCTCTCCCCAACCACTTGGGCCAGCTCCTCCGGGGGAATCCCAAGGCGTTCCCTGGCCAGGTGAGAGACATAGTCCCTCCACCGTGTCCTGGGTCTACCTTTAGGTCTCCTCCCGGTTGGACGTGCCCAGAAAACCTCACCAGGGAGGCATCCTGACCAGATGTCTGAGCCAGGGAGGCTCCTCTCGATGTGGGGGAGCAGCAGGTCTACTCCGAGCCCCTCCCTGATGACCGAGCTTCTCACCCTATCTCTAAGGGAGAGCCCAGCCACTCTTTGGAGAGAACTCATTTTGGCCACTTGTATCTGTGATCTCGTTCTTTCGGTCACTACCCAAAGCTCATGACCATAGGTGAGGGTAGGAAGGTAGATCGACCGGTAAATCGAGAGCTTCACCTTCTGACTCAGCTCTCTCTTCACCACGACAGACCGGTACAAAGCCCGCATCACTGCAGATGCAGCACCAATCCGCCTATCGATCTCACGCTCCAGTTTTCCCTCACTCGTGAACAAGACCCCGAGATACTTAAACTCCTCCACTTGGGGCAAGACCTTATCCCTGACCCGGAGAAGGCATTCTACTTTTTTCCAACTCAAGACCATGGTCTCAGATTTAGAGAAGCTGATTCTCATCCCAGCTGCTTCACACTTGGCTGCGAACGCTGAAGATCACGTTCGATGAAGCCAACAGGACCACATCATCTGCAAAAAGCAGACACCTGATCCTCAGGCCACCAAAACGGATGCCCTCCACACCTTGGCTGCGCCCAGAAATCTTGTCCATAAAGGTTATGAACAGAATCGGTGACAAAGGGCAGCCTTGGCGGAGTCCAACTCTCACTGGGAATGAGCCCGACTTACTGCCGGCAATGCGGCCCAAGCTCTGACACCGGTCATACAGGGACCTAACAGCCCGTATCAGAGGGCCTGCTACCCCATTCTCCCTGAGTACCCCCCACAGGGCCCCCCGAGGGACGAGGTCAAACGCCTTCTCCAAATCCACAAAACACATGTAGACTGGTTGGGCAAATTCCCACGCACCTTCCAGGATCCCCCTAAGGGTATTGAGCTGGTCCAGTGTTCCTAAAGCGAGGCACAAACTGGGAAAGCTTCTGTAGCTCACACTTCCACAACAGATTGTAAAAGAACGGCAAAAGCTAGAAATGAAGGTCTACTCTTTCTTTTGGTAGTTTTGGTGTTTACATGCTTGTAGAGCACAATATTCAGTGACTCTTCAATGAAAGAGTAAAAATTCTCAAAAACACTGGCAGTCAGGGGCTTTCGGATCAGACAACGGTTGGCAATAAATGAGTTAATATTTCCAATTTATTTATAGCTATACTATGTTGCTAAGAAGCATTAAAATGTTTGAAGTTCATTTGTTTTTGAAATGCAACTTTAATTCATAATAAAACACCTCGTTGCTTACCGACCACCGACTTCATTCACAAAAGAAGATGCTGAATCCAGACCTAGGGTGTTTCAATGTGAAGGCGGCTGGTCTCACGAGGCATCGCCTTGCTTACGAGGACACTTTCCTTCCTTGGTTAAAGAAAACGGTTAAATGGAGCAAATTTACATCACGTGACCACGGCTTCTGCGGCGGTCACTTCACATCACGTGACACGGGAAGTAACGTTATATTTAATACGAATACGTTTGAATATAAATGTATAAAGTTACTTTTTAAATTGTGCACATATTAGTTAAATTAAATATGTTAGCGAGTTACTACCTGGAAGCCACCAAAGCTGCTACTAACCAACTGCTTCGGATCTAAAAACACATTTCAGATATCAGCCAGTTAGCAACAATGAGTTGAATTACATTTAAATTGGACATTTGCCCCTGAAGTAGCTGCCGGCTCCTGATCTACAAGGCACCTCCTGTGTATCCTTGCGCAGCTAGCTAAACAGCTAACAAATGGAGAACAGAACATTGGAAGGCAACCAGAGCAAGACAAGAATTCAAGGCAAGGTTCCTTGACATTGAGAAACACTCCTAATCGTTGAGTTTAAATAGGCCTCAGCTAGTCTGCCTCAGAGAAGGCTTGTCCACAAGCATTTGTCACCACAGTGAATGGGCGGGGCTTCGGGCTAGCCTCGTTTGTGGAACCCAGAGAGTGAGAAACAACTGAAAATATGCTGAGGAAGGTGACTGGACAAGGGATGGGTGAATGAATAATGATTGCCACAGATGTGGAGAGGAAACCAAGGAGCCGAGGGAAGGAACACAGAACCTGACAAGGGGCATGGGGAGCAGTAGGATCCCCCACCCCCACCCCCATAGATCCACCTCTGTATTTGTGTCTTTGTATGTGTTTACATCAGCAGCGGCAGCAGCAGCAGCAGCTTTATTTGTATTATACTTTAACAATTAAAAGGATACCCAAAGTGCTGAACACTACACACAAAAACATTTACTAATATCATGACAGTTTTAATGTGTGCTTAC